CCAATTTTTAAGAATTTGCCCGTAAGAACACGTGCTCAGATCGGACCTGTTGTTAAGAATATGAACCTTCAGTGAGGTGTACGACTGGTGCTACAGATAAGAACATACTACATGACGCGGCGGTGGCGAGAGAAGAACATACACAGATGGAGAAGGAGGGGGGGGGGGNGGGTATTACCAGCAGCACCCGTCCGTCGTTTTTAACGCCAGAAGATGCGGGCGGCGCGCGAGGTGCACCGTCTTCGCACCCACCGCCTGCTACTGCTGCGGCTGCCGGGAAGAGAAAGGTCGCAGATCGGGGGAAGCAAGCCAGGGATCGAGCTGCCCAAGGTGTTCTAGGTGGCAACATCATCAACGCGTTCGCTCGTGGAAGCGGAAAACCGGTGAGTTCAGTCATCTGACGACCTCTGTTGCTGTGATGATGTACATATTTACAGCAGTCGTACGGCGGTCCAGCAGCTGTATGTAGTGTAAATACAGCAGGAGTGCTACTGCTGCTGCTGTTGTTTAAAAAAAAACGCGGTGGTGATGAAATGAAAAAGATGAGAGAAAAACTACTCTGTCACAGGTTGGTATAAACGACTGACTTTCAGCATGGCGTACATGTATGTGTACAACTTTTTCAAGCATTCTCCGTTTGCCTCAAGTTCTTGAGGAAGGCAAGGACGGTACAGTAGACACAATGGCGAAAAATAACGCGTACACGAGCGCCGTCCCAACCGTATTTTGTAAAAAAAATTGCTGCACCGTGATCTTAACACACGAGAGACGGTCATGTAATCATCCCCCGCCCCATCTGCATAATAGGTAGATATATTTTGCCATCGGCATCCACGCAATTTCAGGTCCACAGCTCGTTGAATCACCTGCACCTCAATTCCGCNTTCCCTCTTCCCTCTAATACAAGACTTTCCCATCTCGGCCCTCACTGGCCGAGCTGCCTTTCTCCACAAACCTACAAGCGTCGGCCTACCCGGTTTATTCAACACTAGGGAAGACTCCCAAAGGGTATGTTCAGCCGTGGGAAGAAGCCGGGCCTGGACATTGTTGGCACGTGAAGGTCGATGGTGCGACGGGGGCGGCTTCGTTCGTCCTCCAACGAAGCGCTTCCGCGATCTCGACTTCGAAAGCGACGGCTTTACGGACCGCAAAGTCAAGGAGACTCGTGGAGCTGTGAAGCCCAAGCGATACGATTCAGGTTCAAAGCCCATGTTGTGACCCAGCTGCGCCTCCTCCAGGAAGACGCCGCAGACCTCTTCAAGGAGGAGCAGCTCACGCCTCTCCAGTACTTAGAGGACCGTCTCAAGGTTAACTACAGCCTGATCGTGAAGTGGGCTCAGGACGAGGCCAATATGGTCCAATCGGCAGCAGATGACGTGAAAAAGACCCTCCTTGCCAAACAGCAGCCAAAGCGGTGGTTTCCTGAGGAAAAGAAGAAGCTGTACAATATGTTGTTGGGGCGGCGGAGGAGGAAGCTGAAGGTGTCGACCCTGTAACTGACGGTCACGTTCCGGAAGCTCGTGCAAGAGAATCACCCTGAGGACCAACGGGCGGCGGCGTTCAGCGCGTCCTTCAGGTGGGCACGAAAATGGGCAAAGAGGCATAAGCTGTCCAAACGGCGCAGGAGCAACCTCAAGAACAAGTCTGTTGAAGAGCGCCTACCAAAGATCCAGCGCTTCCACCGGCGGTTTCGCAAGCTCCTGCAAGAGCCGGTACGGTACAGGGCACCCGAGGCATCGGACGTGTCGGCGATGTCGACGGTCGCGGAGGGAGAGTCCAGAGATCCCAAGTACGGTCAGTTCCAGCTCTGGGAGCGTTGGAATGTGGATCAAGTGCCTTTGCCATTCGTGAACGGGCTGATCAGCACGTGGGAGAAGACAGGCGCGTTGCATGTGGCCATCTCGCAGCCCTTTGCTGGCCTAGAGAAAAGGAAGTGCACCATGCAAGTCATCTTTGGTCCGGGTGAGAAGACTATGCGGATTTCGGTGATTTTCCGAGGCCAGGGGAAGCGGATTTCGCCGGTGGAGAAAGCCGCGTACCACAAGGACGTGGACGTGTTTTTCCAGGAGAATGCGTGGGCGGACCAAAAGTTCTGCATGGAGTGGGCCAAGAGGTCGTACCGCGAAGGCCTGATCCGCGGGCGGGGTGAGCTCCCCAAGGCG